CTTCATACTTTTCCTTGACAAAAAATATGGCGCTGTAATAAACAGTGTTTTAAAGGGTATTCTAATTACTTGTAGCTGCAAAAATAAATGAGGAGCCAATTTAAAATTCCCGTTTATAGACCAAGTTTTCGTTTCGGCTAACATTTTAAGCATATAATCGGTGGCAAATATAATTATTTGTTCATTAGAATCTCCGCTATTATCATGCAAAAGAAATCTCTCATTCGTGGGAGATCCGGTTGTAGCCCAATCCTCTAATATTAAAAGATATTTTCAATTAAAAAGTTATTTATAGACATAAATATGATTTAACCTGAAATGCTTAATTCTTCCAATGTGGCCGGAATAGGAGGAAACCTTTTTATTTTGTGATTTCTAAGTGTCCTCTTGATACTATCTTCATTCGGAAGTCTTTTTCTGGATTCGGAAGACAATTTAGACATTTTTTCTGCGTATATTTGGCAAGTATTTTGATTTGTTTCAGAGGCTTTTCTTTTCATCGTGCTTATAGCATTTTCAATTTGATATTCATGAATATATAAATTTATTTATTCTTGAGCATAACTTTCCTTTCAACGTTATAAATAATAATTATATCAGAGTTCTTTCAATTTTATTGTTCTACTAAACAATTTTAACATAATATTACAATGAATAGTTTTTTTTTTTTAAAAAATCAATGATAATAATTATAATCTTGTTTAGTAAATAGCTTCAGCGTCTGCATGAGCGTGAGGGTATGAACAGTTTGCATTCAATTTTTCTTGAGGTGGGTAGTATAAATTAATTGGGGAGTTGTCTATTAAATTTTTAGATAAATTAGTGTAATATATTGCTGCAAAATATATTACACTAATTACTTTTTATTATACAATGATATATATTGCTGATCATCGACCAAGTTCTTTATATTGAAAAACAATCGTAGACATTATTTTCCAAATTAAAACACTTTTCTGCTACATTTAAAAGGATTAGGTAGGCATTTTCAGCAAACTTATACTCACGTCAAACAATATACTATAATAATACACGTTCATTGTAAATTGAGGGGGGGGGGGGACTTTTAAATTAAATTCATCTAAAGAATAAACTCTTTTTATATCCACAATATTTTGATTAGTTGGTTAGTAGGGCTAAAATAATTTAAGTAATTCTTTTTAAAATTTATGAAGGGAGTACCATCATAATTAAAAAAGTATAACTAATAATGAGGGAGGGTAGCATAGGTTTCTGAAAGGGGTTCGCATTCTCATGTAGACGCTGATATAGAATCAAGTTTTAAAAAAAAATTACTATAAGGGGTGGGAGAGAATTTTAAGTATACTGGTAATGTATTAAAATAAATAAAATTGCATTTTTTTATATTTGGTTTTAAGCTAGAATTTATTGTAATAGATTAAATAGATAAACGATTTTGTAAAAAGTATATATAGATATATATTTTCTTATTGCAAACATATAAAATATTTTATACTTAAATCAATATACTTTCATAGCGTATAGGGAAGAGAAATAATTATTCTTCCCCTCACAATGTAAAGTATTTTTATAGTCCCTGTCAGAGTTGCTAAAATATCTAATTATAAAAATGTATAAACATTTGTGAAAGTTACCTATTTGTATCTAGATAATATTTTTAAAAAATGATAACTTTTTTTTAAGATGCATCTTGATATACTATAATTCAAAGTTTATTTTTTTTAAAAAAAAATCTAAAAAATAAAAATATTTGAAAAGCAAAATTTATTTTATCTCAAATGAGTAGTGTCGAAAAGCCCTAATTTAGGTTGATCTTATAATAGCAGTCGCACCGAGATTTGACAAATAGATTCGGCTTAAATAAATGATTTGCTGATCAACCTTTTAAGATTTCCTTGCCACCAAAATTTGCCTTTGAGTTAAGGTCAAGAGAAATATCTGCCAAATAAAGGTGTCATTTGTCGAAAATAGAATTAACCTAGTTTATTGCCAATAACGATTTAGAAAATCGTCGTTCTTTAGTATATAAATATATATATATATATCCTTTTTTCTTTCAAAATTATGTCTCCTCATTCTCGCGATCATCATAAAAAAAATTTAAAAACAAGGGTGCCCCCCCCCTCTTTAAAACGCTAGAAAGGAAGTGGTAAACTTGGAGGACTATAGAGAGCCAAAATTATTTGAACAATCGAGAAGTGAATCAATCACTTTGATGGGCGTGTAAATGTAATTCTTTAAAAGAAATATGAGTAGATAGTAAACAAGCAATCGTTCTCTTTGACAAGCTGGCAAGGAGGCGAAAAAACTAATTAAAATCATTCAATTTGAAGGGATCAAAAGAGGTTTTAAAGGAAATTAGGGGGGGGGGGAATTATATAAGAAAAACTGAGACAGGGAAACACCTAAAGATGTTCAAGAATTTGGCTTAAGAAAAACATTTTATAGTGAGAAAGATTTCAGGGAATCAAAGAGTTATCGAATGGACAAAACTTTTTAACAAAAAGAATTTAAAAAACCCAAGCATAGAAACTAGCTAATATACATGCAAACTAATTAGGTAAACTAGCTATTTACAAATTAGCTATTTGGTTAATAAACCTACCTAATACTAGATAACCGTTTTCTTTTGTTGAATAATCGTTATTTTACATATTCATTGACTGCTTTAATTATATAGGAAATCTTTTTAAATATGATATCTTATTATATATATATATATACTAAATGTTTTTAAATCGCAAACTTTTATATATGAAAATCTTTTTGACATATTTTCCAAATTAAGTTTTAATACTTAAATTCAGGGGGGGGGGGGGGGTTAAACTTTCGATAAATATAGGGATCACCCTTAATATCTTCTAATATGTAAATAATTTAATTTGAAGAGGTATATAAAGGCCTCATATTTTTATTCGTATGTCGGAAATAACATATTATTATTTTAAATTATCAATCAACCATACAAGTCGATAAATATAAGTATTACGATCCTGAATTTACTTGGAACGAAATCGCAACATTGACTTTTCATATTCTATTTTGAAACCTAGGATTTTGTGTTAATATCGAGCATATGGTGGAAAGGCTAAATAATAATTACTCAATACCAAAATAATCAAGTAGAATATCAACACTGAGAATGGACTAATCTTTAGGGTTTACCTCCCACAGTATCATATAATATGCTAAAATGTAGACTCGATTTTAAGGTTGTTCACATAGAGAATCATTCTATTTACACAAATAATTACAGAAATCAAAATAATGTGTATGTAACTATAGATATCTTTTTTAATTGTAATATTTAGGAAATGTTTTTGAGTAGGAAACTTTTATAAATGTTTTAAATATAATACAAATTGAAGTTTTAATACTTTTGATTAATATGGAGATCAACTTAAATCTTCTAATATTTAAAAGCTAAAATTTAAAAATGTCTAAATCTAATTCATATAAAAAAATTCAATCATTTTCTCACATTTCTAAACATCAGATTACAATATATTTATTATTTTAAACTATAAAACATTAATATGACTGGGAAAAATATGGCTATTTTCATGATCCTAAATTATTTACACAAAATCACAATACCGAATTTTCACATTTCATTTTAGTATATTTTGGGAAAATTAATTACGGAAAATAAGGATTTTATGTATATATTAAAGAAAGAAAGAAAGAAAGAAAGAAAGAAAGAAAGAAAGAAAGAAAGAAAGAAAGAAAGAAAGAAAGAAAGAAATAGAAGGTAGTATCCTATATTCTCCAAAGTTAAACAATGTTTTAAAAAATGTTTAACATTAATAATTATCTTATTATTATATCATCTATTTTCTAACAGATAACTTACAAGAGATATTCCGATTAGAGGCCTTCATGAACCGGGCTGGCCCGAGGTCATAGACCAACTCAGTTGGGCCTAATATTATATTTTCTGGCCTGAGCTGGGCCTAGGTTTCTAATTTTTCTTTAATGGAAATAGGCTGGACGGGCTTATCTATAAAACAGTTGGCAACATTAAAAAAATATTATGTATTTAATTTATCAAAGATACTACATTTTCAAAATAAATTAAAAATAAATTAAAAATATATATTACTATAAAAATAAATAATTTTAACAAATTAAATATTTCACTCATTGGCGAAATAATTCAATTCACGTCTTGTCGGATATGTCCAATGTTTGAATTTGAAAATCTATTTACACTCATGACGTGACCCAGGTGGATCCATCTGATGGCGCCAATTTTTATGACGCACATATCTTAATTACTAGACTAATATATTAGTATCATTTAAATATGTAACATTTGGGTTATTAAAAATCATATCAACCACCGAATATCTCAAATATATCATATTTATAATATAATATAAATAAGTTTACATCAGCCGTTCAAAAGTAAATCTATGATTAAGGATAGAAAAAAAAAATAGAAGAAATTGATAAAAAAAAAATATCGAGAAAAAGGTGAGGCGAGAGAATAAGATGTTAGAAGAATGGCAGATTATTCGATTGAAGAAGATAAAGGCTTAGAAAGCACTTTTTTGCAATTAAACTATAGTTCAATAGTAAATTGTAGCCATTCCCTAAGAAGAGGGGAAAAGCGTGGCTTTTAGGGGGTATGGTCTTTAGGAATTCATAATCCCCTGTTAGCATGTTGATAAACTAGCAGAACACCGTCGTGATAGCTCGATTTTAGGTATTTGCAGAGTTTTTATTGAGGGGAGTATTTCAGTTCTTCTGTAAACACTAGGAATAGTTCTAATAGTATCTGGAAATAACCTCAAAAAAAATATCCGTATTTTAACGCGATACTTTTTTTTGTTTAAAGAGGATCTTTTATAAATTGTAATATATTCCAAATATTAATTAATATTATGATATTTACGAAAGCAGAATTATCATAAATACGATATTCTTTACATTAATAGAATGTTCTAGAATTACATAAACAAATAAAAAAAAAATTACGTTATATCAATCAAATTTAATATAATTTGTATTACATAATTATTTTTTGTCATTTTATTTTAAATTTTTTTTTGCTTTGCAATTATATATTCTTGATTTTCTTATCAAAATGACTGCGGCCACAACGGATTACAAAAAACTGGTAGAAGAATTGATAGGTAGTAAAATGCCAGGTGCTGCCATAGTTAGCAAGGAAGGACAAACTCAAGCTTGTAAAAATATCACTATCAGCAAGGAAGAGGCTAAAGTCTTAGTTGACGGTAAATAAACGATATTATTACCATAAATTTTTTACCCGATGTATCATTTCTAAAATTCCTTTCTAAAATAAAAAGTTAAAAGCTACGTTTACCATAAATTTTTTGCTTTTTATTTTGGCCACTCGCCACAACTTCTATAGATCGCTCTCTAGGATTTCACTAGATATATATTTTTTTTTTAAATTTTAAAAAGAAATTTGTAAAGTTTTGGGGGTTGTTATTGATTATTTTTTTGAGAAAACATATTAAAAATACAGTTATTTATATGAATATTTAAAAAAAAAAATAAGGCTTCGATAAATCTGAAAAGATTGCTGCCAATGGACTCATGATCAATGGTAAAAAGCATCAGTTTCTCAGTAAAACGGCCAATTATATCAAAACGAAAGCTGACAAGGGTGGTAGTGTGACCTCTAGAACAGCCAAAAACATAATTGTAGGCATGTACGACGATAAATTGAGCTTGGAAGATTGCACTAAAGCCATGGAGTTGGTAGCGGCAAAGTTGAAAAAATCTGGACTGTGAATTCTATCAATCCAAATTAATCAATAGGCATCATTGCGAAATTCAAATTTTTATTTTTTAATGATTTTTTAAAATTTTTATGCAATTTTTTTATCTATTCTTTAAAATAATCTAAACTACGTAAATTGTTTTCCTTCACTAATATATCGTTGTTGGGTTTCAACAAAAAAATGCTTTTTTTTAAACTTACTTTTAAAATAAAATTATTTCTATGTTATGTAAGATTTTTGGGGGCCAATCTAGATTACCTAAATGTCGAGAAATAATTGCCATAATAAATTACGTTTTTAATAACGTTGAAAAAATAGTCGGCCATCAAATTATTTTAGGTTCCAAGGAAGTTGTAAAGAAAAATTAAACACCTTAGGGCAGACACTAGAGAATATCATATAGTGTCTACTTTGGGGCCTTTTATAAGCACAAGTAGTAAGCCCTGCACCAATATAGTTTGAATTTCGTTATTGTCAACTGGGACAATTTTCTTATTATTAAAAATTTATAGGTAAGTGGGGCAGCAAGATTAAACATATTATGCATGACTATCCCTTCTCAGATAACTTGGTAACTTACCATTTTTAAATTCTAAGGCTGCATCCTAATTTTTGTTGTAAATAAGAATATCCTTAAAAAGCTAGGATACCCTTTCATAGATTTCGACATAAGGTGTGGTGATAGTAGTTTCAAAATACTAGTGCCATGCAAATTTACCCTTCAAAAAGTAACGATGTAAACACTCACCACGTTTTAAAATGTAACAACTTACATAGCAACACGCAACAAGTTATACTCACTTATTTTACTATATTTTTCTTCCAAAAAATCGTATCAATTATTTGACTCATTTAAGTGCATTAAAACAAACGCAGCTTTTTAAAATTAAAAATTATATCATTTATTTTTTTGTATCTTAAAAATTGTCACAGTCTCAGGGTTTTCATAAGCACTTTTATCACGCGTTTCTAATTTTAAGATACTTTATTTTGCGGGAATCGTATTCCATTGTAGTTCGAAGATTTATGAGAAAATTGTCTAATAATCATAGGGCAAAGGACTCTCTTCCAGTTTGAAAACAAATCCAACATAATCCATCAGGTCTTTCAAGATTTAAAAACGCTCCTTTTCAAATTATTTAATTTTACAAAACCGTATATCTATTATCTATGAAATGGAAACAAGTAATTATATATATTAATAAAGTTCCGTCAATGAAATGAGATTTAACGAATACACACAAAGAATCTAATTGACTATATATTATATTAAAAGTTTATTGGTAATTTATACTATATATATATTGTACATAGAATCTATCTTTTACCATTATAAAATATATTAAAAGTATATCGGTAATTTAATTTAAAATCATAAACTTATATCTAAAAATAAAAAAATTTAAAAAAATTACTTTATATAAAAAAAAATACGAAATCTTTTATAAAATTTTAAACAATATACTACTATCACAAAATTTGATTTTTCAAATATGATTTGGCGGGGAAAGAATTTACAATCAAGATCTTTTTTAAAACTTAATTTTAAAAACAAAAAATTTCCACATATTTAATTAAATAATTTAACAGAGTTATTTAAATTTATCTTATAATAAAAAATTTTCCTAAAGGTAGCTAGTTATTTTCCCACAGGCTATAATTACCTTTAGTGGACTATAATTATATACATTTAGAAACCTTGCAAAATATGCGATGTATTATTAAGTTTCTTTTTTTTAGACCACGTTATTTAGAATGCTAAAACTATGAGAATTAGGGAAGCATCACTTCTATTTAGGATCTATTTTTAGAAAACCTAAGCTAGGGGACCGAAACGGGACCACTTATTCGAAATTTTTAGGAAATCAGAAACTCCATCTTTAATTTCCTGTTCCTAAACTCAGTTATTCACGGCGAATTTAAAAAATGTCGATAGCTGGAACTCGGACGAGTGAACAAACATTTAAATTTGACCATATTTGACCGGTCAAATATCGATTGAATCGAATCGTATTAGAACGGTCAAATACACATTGCAAGTCGAATACGAAATGTATAATATTTCGATTCATATTTTTGTTAGGTATAATTTTGAAAACAAAAATCAAATTTGTTTTTTCGCAAAAGTAAGTACGTTTTCGAAATTATTTTTATGATTTAAAAGACTTTAGATAATTAAAACTGCACATAATTTCATCCGCTTAAAGGAATTAAAGCTATTTCTTACATCATAATAAATTAATAATCTCGAACAAATCTATTCATTTCAAGTGTGTAACACAGTTTAGAAAACACACTTCGTAATCAGCCAAACTTGGGAGAGTAATAAAACATGAATATTTTTATTTAACAACGAAAAATTTAAATATGCTAAAAAAAAATATGTTATAATGTTATATATAATAATTTTAAAAAAAAAAATGCCATAGTATGAGGTAGGAGAATATTATTTTTCTTATTCTTTCTAAATTCAGACTAAAAATGCTTCCGTACTGAATATAGAGTAGACCTTGGGCAATGGCAACGCCACACTCATTTGACTATACATCCTAGTTATCAGGCATTCCCTCACTAGCTCCAAACTTAGGATAAAGGTTTTCACGATCGATTGTCTGGGTGATGGGGTAGCGTCTTCCACCACGGAAATATCGAGTAAAGAATGAGATGTTGGGTTCAATTCACCTATCAGGGTGCCTAACAGGGCCTGACCCACTGCAGAATTGTCGGCGTAGAGAGGACCTATGTTTGATCCAACGTGCCTCGGTTTCAATAATCCGTAACCGACTATGGTGAGTTCGGATTCAGGAGTTTCCTTCGACAAAGCTAAGGCCACGGTGGTATCTTTTGAGCCGATGGTCATGGCTTTAAGGAACTGAGTTCTTTCTATACTGTGAATCTTGGTGTCGTACGATATCAACGTATCCATGTAATCTTTCACAGTTAAAGAGTTCAATTTTAGAATCGAAAAGCGATTAGTTTCTTTTGACTGGTCTAAACTCGAATCGTTGGAATATATGCGCTTAATGTTCTCTATTTTCTGAGGTGTGACGGTACCTACGTAAGTTGCAACTAGATATTTTATATAAAAAAAATTAATTATGGGGGCTTTTTAAAAGTAAATTCTGGGAAACCAATTTCAATAGTATTTCCTTCAATTTTTCGGAAATATTTATTTAAGATTTAGAGATAATATTTGTATTCCATATAGATTAGAGTTAAGTTTGGACTTAGATATTGACTTATTATAAATTATGGATGCCACGAATTAATCAAATAAAACCTATTGAAGTTTTATAATAAATTACTAAAAATTTTAATAATTATTAATAAAAATTTGTTTAAGAATTTTTTAAAAAATAACCCTTATTTCATTCTTTTTTGCTCAAATGATCTTGATAAAAATAAAATATAAATATATATATAAATAAACTAACTATTGAAAGATGCCTTCATCCCCAACTTCAGGTTAGACTGTATACGAGTGTCGACTGAGTTTAACCCAAGATTCCTGGGTTGTACGTGCTTCATCCTGGCCTTCCAAAGTTCACTCCCTATTCCGTGACATCGGTACTCCTTCTTAACGCAATACAATCCCCCAAAGGCTACTTGATCGTTCAGTATCATCCCAACTACATTACCTGTATGCATATGAATTTTTTTTTAAATATATATATATATATATATATACATAGTATTTAATATTAAACTGCCAGGGAGAATTATGACATATTAAGAAGTTATAAATGCCATGATTTTTTATAAATGGCTCCTTTTCTGGGCCGATCCTAAAAACAGTTTTATTCCGGATTTTGCCTATATAACTATCGGCTCCAGGGATTAAGCTCGACAGAAATAATCTGGCTCTTATATTAGACGCGGCGTTTACGGCTTCCGCCTCGTTTATGTCGATACGTATCATAACGGACGAATCAACTACGATTTCCGGTTTAACAATCAATTTCGCAAAGCTTTAAACAAATCGCGTTTAACTTTAAAAGCAGGGTTTTAAAGTATGCCAGAATTTTTGAGCTCGGTTTCAATGAGCATTAAGAGTTAAACTTGCCTAATTTAGGCGCTTGATAATTTGGTCGACTTGCCTAATTTGACAAAAATTTCGAGTTCCCAATCTATCTATTACAAAAAAAAAATGTTTTGATAAATTGGGCAACTGTCTAAAGTTTGAAAAAAAAAATCTTGATCCTAATGGTGCCTAAATTATGCAGGTTTTACTGTATCATAATACATATATTCGAGGGGGGTGCGGGTCGTTTAAATACCTAACGGTGGGTCACATTGTGAGTGCGAATAAATTTTGATGGGTGATTGGGCGTGATAGTCATTTTTAAAAAAAAATCAGTGATAAAAATATTTATGTCAATCACCTAGAAGCTGACCTTCTTCCTCACCTATTTTATAACAGATTTTTACGAGTAACTCCTTTAGGAAACTATATCTAACCCGTTTACAAAAATAAAATGGATAAAGTATTAGTTTTCAAAAAATTTCTTAGGCTGTTTAAAAGTTCGACTTATTATTAAAACAGGTTGGCTATTTAGCCGGCATTTTAGTTATCTACTAAACAGCCAAAAAAAAAGTAGGAGGCGATTAAATATTTCAAGCATGCCACTCATTTAAATTTTCTAAATTAAAGATGCCTACCAATATTGAAAAAAAAACGGATAATAAATATGATTTATCATTAGAAAAAAGCTAATACTACGCGATTGCATTGGCAATAATATTTTGGCTTAAATTTTCTTTCCTCAATATTCAAAAAAAAATTTGAGTATACTAGACTAGACTATTATTGAAATAAATTGGCTTTAATTTGTATAAGTTAATAAAATAAGTAGTGTTGTTATGTCGCATAACTTTAGCCAATTCCCAATAAAGTTTAGCAAAGGTTTCAACCTAAAAAAATAGATCGAAAAACATCTAAGTTGGAACCTAAACTTAAATATTCGAAGGGATTCTTTAGCAGAGCCATTTTGGAATTGGTGGTCAAAGAGATGATTTGATAACACTAAGAGATTGGTTCCTAATCTATTATAATTATATCTGGATGTGTTATTGTACCAAAAAGACGAGATTTTTCATATTTAAAGCCGAACATAAAAAGGGTGTCCTAGTTTTAAAAGTTTTTTTTATAGTCTAAAGC